AGCATTAGAAATGGTGAATTACCTTGTGACCTGGTGTTTGAAAAATAACCAAGTCAGGAAAAAAAAAGGCAGTAATTGCTTCTTCTTTAAACTTTTCTATTTAGAGGGAAGGCAAGCCACCCCCCATTGAACAAGCATCCTCCCCATCCAGTCTGTGTTGGGTGGCCTAAAGACACTACTCTGCAGAGGGCATTCCTCTCATGCAACCTGGTCCAGAGGAAATGAAGTACACAGGGGGGGGTCCTGTTACTGTCTCGGGCCCCTAGCCCAAGAAGAGCAAGCAACAGAAAAGGGTTTTGTAGGGTGCTCCCTATATGCCACATGTTAGGCCAAACAGGATTCATCTCAAGTCATCCTCATGAGAAACACAAATCACCACTGCATTCTAAACACAAGAGCTGCAGTTTGTAGAGGAGAAAAAAAAATCTTTTCCTTCCACCCTTTTACATTCTCAGCTACGGACCCTTTAAAAAGTTGAACACTAGAGACGCACATGAGTGGACTCTGTAAGGTTACTGTGACTGAGGCCCCATCATGCAGGGGGCGCAGCACAGTGTCTCTTGGAGTGTGGGGAGGCTCCACCACAGGACAAAAGGCGAGGTGCAGCTGCCAGGACAGGGTCACTCAGCAAGGCCTGATCTTCCAGGCCCCTCAGTGTCCTTGCATCTCTTGGTATAAGCAGTTCCTTCCCTCCCCTCTCACTCAAGGACCTGATGACCTGCAGCAGGAAGGATGGTGAAAACCCAAAAAGCCTTTCCTACCATTCCCCTCGGATTGTTTTCAGCTCGTTAATACCACCAGACCAGATTTTGGGGCAGTGGGTCCTGAACCCCCTCAAGTCTCATGAGGTTACACAACCAGCCTGCAGTGACACAGTAAGGCAAGTCACCAGCAGTCACTCCGAGGCTTTTTTTTTTTTTCTTCTCCTTTCTTTAATTAGAAAGGCAGATTTAACATCAGAAAGAAAAACACCTGCTGGCTCACTCCCCAGATGGCCACAACAGCTGGAGCTGAGCTGACCCAAAGCCAGGAGCCAGGAGCCTCTTGCAGGCCTCCATGAAGGCTTTGGGCTGTCCTCTGCTGCTTTCCTGGGTAGGCCATAAGCAGGGAGCTGGAAGGGAACTGGAGTAGCCAGGACACGAACCCGGTCCATATGCCAGCATTTGCCGGTCCCATCACACTGAGGCCACAACAGAAGGTCCGCTGACTAGTGACGTTGCTAAATGAAGCTATCAGCATGCTGGGTGCTTTCTTCCCTGGTGGCTTTACTGGGCTTGTGACTCCACCTCTTTGCAGAAGCAGAGAAAACTGTGCTTCCAGAAGGAAGGAACCACCCCGGGGAAACAGGGACAAGAAAAGGGTCCTTGAACTGCTGGTGATCTGATGAATCTGCCCCGAACAGCTACAAGCTACATCAGCAAACGTTTCTCAAGTGATAAGGAATGATATGGTAAACGGTAGGTTTACTTCTTAAAATACGACCTCATGGGAAAGGAGTGGAGAACAGGGTAGAGGCTTTCAGCCCACTTGGCCAGACACACCCTCGGTGCTGCTTCCTGGGGTCCATCAGAGGCACTCAGTCCCAATCACCTCAGAACACCTCTCTGGCCACAGCAGCACTTTGAGTCAGAGAAGGAGCTCAGGGGTGTCCTGAGCACTTCATGTCCACAAGAGAGCTCAGGCTTTGCTGACGAGACTCTTCAGAGAAGAATCCAGCCCATGTCTGAGGCGGTGGGGTCTGAACTGACCAAAGCAGCCCCCAAAATGACCAAGCACGTCACATAACATCACTAATTTGTTAAAGAAATACTGCAGTAAAACTGAGCCCTCAAGTCATCCAATCACAAAGCAGCAGCCCGCGGCCAGGCCTTCCTCCCACTCTCACACCTTGAAAATGCACCTGGACAGGCATTTGCTGCGGCAGTTAGGAAACCCCCATGCAACGTGGGCGAGCCTGCTTGTATCCTGGTTACGCTGCAGGTGAGATCCAGCTTCCTGTGGACGGCCCCGCACTCGGCTTTCTGCTGCCCCTGGGAGACCTGGACGGAGAGCTCCGGCTCCAGCCTGCCCTGACCCAGCTGTTCAGGGCATTACGGAGGTAAACCAGCACACACTCTCAATCTCTCTCTCTCTCTCTCTCACACACATTATCACATACATATTGCCTTTCAAATAAATCTTTACAAAATTTTTAAATTATTAATCATAATAAAAAATGTAACAAATGACTAACGAGTTACAGGAACCAGAAACTAACTGGAAATGTTTCCTTAATTTTCATACAACAGCTAAGAAATCTTATAAAACTAAGACCAACAATCAGCACAACCATTAAGGACACTACATATGCTTGCCTAACTACAATGCAATTGGTAAAACCTTACCAAAAACAAAATTCTTTTTTTCAAATCTAACCCTAGTTAAATCTTAAGAAAGATCTCACAGCAGTCTCTTGAGGAAATACATAATTAAGTAGTTTTTTAGCATATTTAATTAGACCCCAAACTCTTGCCTGTCCCCTTCTCTCCCCAATTATGTACTGCATGCCCAAGAGACCCAAGCAACTCAGTTAATTATGTAAATAAGGCAAGCACTATTCCCAAGAAAAGCACTGTGAATATTTGCAGAGGAAGAAAAACTAATCTGTACATCCTTTGGTGGCTTTAATAAATCTTAACACACACACACAATAAAGAAGTATTGCAAACACAGAAAACCTTTACATGTGGAGAAAATCAAAGATGGGATTCCAATGTCAAGGTGGTAAAATATTAAAACAGGACACTAATTTCATTCCTTAAATATGAGCTGAATAAAAATAAAATAATTTTAAGTTACAACAGTAACAAAAATTTCATGCTGAACATCAGATGATATATGGGAAGAATCAATCTAGAAATTATTAGAGCTGACTCTCACGGAGAAGGCTTTATTATCAGGGGATGACACGAGCTGAACTCCAGAGGCAGCCGAGCTGCTGTGCTAACTGCTACAATCCCATTATGATGCAATCACAAAATGCTAATTTGATCATTTTGAGGTGTTATTTGAATAGTCATTTTAATTTCTAGGTTACAAAAAGGCTTGACTCAAGTATAATTTTCTATTAATCATTGAGATGTCATTGAACATCATATTGATGCATTTCACAAAGATAAAGAAAGACTAATTTAATATGTATGCTACAATATCTTTCAAATATTAGCCACTTTCATTACATACCTGCCAAATGCATCAATATTAAATAATAGATGAGAACAAGGACTTAATTGTGTTTTAGCAATTGTAATATGTAAGATAACACTAAAACAGCCCTGCATCATAAGATAGACTTATCAATACATAAATCTTTCTTAATCAATATGTACTGGTGACTAGTGCATGTTCACATCTTTGCAGATCACAGATCTGCTATAACAAAAAGCACAGAAAACTTAAAGTGTGAACACAAATCTACTAAATTTTTTTTGTCCTTTTTGCCTGAGGAAATGGTTCAAAATTTTTTTCTACTTCAGCAGTTAGATATATATTCCCACCAAAGTCCATAATCTTCTGACAAATTCAAGTCTAAGTAATATAATCTAACAGCATACAGAAAAGTCTGTTTAAAAGATGTGTGCTATTTTGTTAGCAAACAAAAATTGCCATTCATTAATTATTCCAGTAATTACGCCCCCAAACAATACGATGGTGCCGGGTAATAAAGTAAACAAATCCCAGCCATAAACTCCCGCAAATCTAAATGCAGCAATTGAATTTTCTTAAAGTCCCATGTGGTCCAATTCACACCTTCTCAGGGCTGGCCTCCAAGTCTCCAGGGAGAAACGGTCTCTTCTTCCCTGCATGGAGGGCTTCTGAGCACGGCCGGGGACAATGGACTCAAATGCTTTCCAGGGACTTTTGGAGGAAACTCCTGTAGACGCTAGGATCTTTATGCTATTCATGCATTTTGTTTCTGCTCTACTTTCCCACAAACATCAACAACCTCTCATGCCAATAGCCACACAAGCTTAGGTAAGCCAATGGAAACATGCTGAACTGTTCGTGGTAAAAGTGTTTCAAAGAGAAAATACCTCTTCACTCGAAGACCACAACTGACAGAACAAGCACACCAATAAGAAAAATGCAAACACAACCAGAGAGCTGTGTGATCATTAATTGCAATGGTGTGACATAAGATGAATGGTTGCACGACCCCTCCAGGCAACACACTCTCAGCGCCCCCACGACACTGCCAGGCACAACACATAATGGCAATAAATATCAGAATCGGCTGCTACCATCTCCCAAAAAAGGCCCACCCGACCTAGCAGAGACCCATGGCAAAGGGAATGGGGGCATACGGTGCTACATTGACTACTGGCCATTTTTTTAAAAAAGGAACACATGACCATTTTAATTCTTAACAGTAAACTGTTAGAACAAATGGACAAAAAAGGCAGACATGCTCCATGGCAAATGTTAAACAAGATCCCCCAAAAGTGCAATACCGAAATCAAAGCAACAGCCTGGAATTCTGGCCAGAAGCTCCAAGGCCCACGATCCCCAGGTTGTGGTAACCACTCAGACACGATGATGCAAACTGCCACTCAGCACCACTCAGAAGGCTTTCCCATGCGCCCGGACCCTGAGCAACCACAATCCAACCAGCCCAAATGCCCACTTGAGGTAACACAGATGAACCAACCAAACACACTACCCCCGCCCATACAGCCCCAGGTCATCTGGGAAGATTCAATCAGTCCTCTGAGATCTAAGATGGGAAGGAAGAGAAACAGCCAAGGAGTGGAAGAGAGGCAACTCAGGACTGTCTCCTTTTAGTCCTCCTTGACAGATTCTAATGGAAGCAACACTAAGGCCAAATTCATATATTCTGTATCTAAGGTCTTGGAAAAGTAACATCTGTAATTACTCTGAGACACACGGACCCCTCAATCTAACAGTAACAGCAGCAGCTCCACTCCGAGCAGTGCCACATCCGGTCTCCAGGTTCCACTCACCTTGCCATCAAACTTGGAGTACTCATTAAAAGGGTTATTCAGCTGCAGAGGGCACTGCTCCAGGCGCACAGACAATATTGACTGCTTGCCAGAATTCGGAGGCTTCTCTTTGAGGGATTTTTTTTCAAACAGTGACTTTAACTCCTGGGCTGTGTAGAAAAAGAAGATAAAAATATCTTTGTGATTACAGAAACAAGACAGCTTATGCATCTTCCCTAAAATGTCTTTCTCCAAGTCAAGGTGGGACACACCCAGGGCTGCGTTAGGTCTGAAGTGCAGAAAGCCACGCACACATGTCAGTGTCTGCAGTGAGGCAGCATCCAAGCCTCAGGCCAATCCAGGACGACTGGGGGTGGGGAGGGAAGGGGCCAACGCAGAGCAACACAGTGGCTTTTGTGTCACAGACGTGTTCACTGTCCACAGACCCTAAGGTTTTGTCTGCTTTGCCAATTACAGTTAGCTGGCTGAAACTGGGCAATTTACTACACTTCTCTGGGCCTATCACATTACCTTTAAGAGATACCTGGAAACTTTAATATTATGTGAGCTTGACATTCTAATTCTTCAAGGTCAAGGTCAAGGGTATCTATTATCACACACTCCAATGATACTTATTACAGAATCTGGATGACCAAGGTGAGGAGAAAGGAAAAACAGAGGACATTTATAGCAGCAGGAGCTAACATTAATTGTTCAGGTCAATGCATCTCATGCAATTCTTACAACATTACACAGCCATAAGCCTTATCTCAATTGTCTCAGCGAGGAAACAAGCTTAAAATATTTTTATTAGTCCTATGCCATGAAGCTACAGAGTGGCAAAGCTAGGATTCAATTGAATCTCTTAGCCATTACACAATAATGGAACAAAGTAGAGCCTCAATAAATTTTGTTGCATGAATGAACAAATAAAATGATTGAAGGAATTCACATTATTATTCAATCAGAAACTTCAGCTCATTTTAATGAATGAATTAAGACACATTAGTTTCATATCTTCGCAAAGATCATCTAATTTTTTAAGTCAATCTACATATTGACCAAGACGGTAGACAGATGATAAATGGGGGCACTAGGCTTTCTTTTTAATTTTGAGATTTAGAAAGTGTACATAGTAAAGCTTTTTAAACAAATCAGAGATGTTTACATCTGCAGGAAGAGAAGCAGCCCTTCCCAGTCCTTGACAAAGGTGTAACAAAAAAACTATTCCCCAACTCACTCAAGTGGTCATTAAAACAACTCGTAAGTATGAAGCTGACATGATGACTCGCTCAGCTGATCTTCCACCTGCAAGCACCACATCACATGTGAGCGCATGGCTGTGTTCCGCATGCTGTATTTTCCATCCAGCTCCCTGTTTATGGTCTGGGAGAGCAATAGACGATGGATGGTTCACCCACATGGGAGACCTGAAAGAAGCTCCCAGCTCCTGGCTTCGAATCAGCTCTGCTCTGCCACTGTGGTCATTTGGAGAACAAACCAGCATCTGCAAGATCTTTCGTTGCAAGCTGACTGATACTATCTCAAAAATCAGAGACAGAGCCTTAGAAGCTCAGAAGTCTATTCACTGGCCAGCAGACTGTCCCATACTGTCACCAACAGAAGAAGCGTCTGGCCCTCACTGGCAACTGTCTGGGGTTTTTAAACTCACATTGGTGCACAATGATCCTACAATCAACTCAGGTGCTGTGCATTTACAAAGCATCCGATTTACTTATCCTGGCAGGCAAACATGTCCCACTCAGGGGCAACTTGCAAGGCAAGCAAGCACAATTCGTTCCACTCACAGAAGCCAATCTACCTGGTTCCATATGTGTCCCTAACTTAATGCTTGCTTCTCTGCTCGCCCTCAGACTCAGGCAGATTTAGCAGGCCTGACTTGAGTGGTATCTTTTTGAATTTTTGGGTTGTGACACTCTCTCCTTGTCTTTGTAAATCTGCCTTTCCATTAAAAATAAACAAATCTTGAAAAAAAAATACCTCATAACTAAATAAATGTAACTACAGTTACCTTTTCAAAAGACTGATGAAGCAAATTTATGAATTGAGTTCCCATAGATTTAAGTGGCTAATCTGGAGGGTGTGTACTCTAAGACCCCCGCTGAGTGCCTGAAACCACAGGGAGCAGTCAACTCCACATACACGCCTCTGCTCACACCCCACGTGAGCTCTGAGGCAGCAGGGAGCTGCATGCAGGAAAGTGATTCCCACACTGTGGGACACGCAGACATCCACACAGCCCTCAGGCTGCCTAACATCCTCAGCCTCACTGCTGGCGGACTCGCCTCCTCCCAGCTCACCGGCACTGGCCAAGGCTCCATGTTTGGACCACTTCTTTTCTCCTACACTTACATCCTTGGGGAGTCTGTCTAGGCTCATATCCAGAAGAGGCAAAAATCAAACTGTAGAGATACTGGACCAAAGGTTACCTTTGGTGAGCAAACTGACTAGAAAGGAACACCAACGGACCTTATTAGGGAGCTGGCACTGCTCTGAGTTCACGGGCATGCTAGATACACAGGTGCACATGTCCGTCAAAAGCCCTCGCTCCAACAGGGCAGGCATTTAGCCTAGTAAGACACCTACACTCTCTGCTCGAGTCTGTAGGTTCAGCATCTGGCTCTGTCTCCCACCACCAGCGTCCTGCCCAGTCACTGGGCCCCCACTGCTGTGTGGGACAGCCAGAGACGCTCCTGGCTCTCGCCTACAGCCAGGTAGACTCAGTCTGTGTGTCTGTGAGCTGAACAGACAGAGCGTAGCTAATCTTTCTTTCTCTCAATCTTTCCAACATATGCTCTTAAATATTTAAAAAGTCATAAAATTGCATGTTTAAAACCTAACTGTGGATGGTGGATGTATCTATCTAAATAGAGCTATATATAACTATATACCTAACTACAGATATATCATATCTAAATAATAAAACAGAGAGACACAAAGAAGAGAGACAAGGAGAGAAACAGAAATAAAAAAGGAAAATAATAAGTATATTCTATAATCTGGGAACTCCTGAAGATGATTTCTAACAGTAAAGACCCCATGAAATGAGACTGACATATCCAACCTGTTGCGTGACACCTCCACTGTGATGTCTGCTAGGAAACTCACGCCTTCTATGTTCATAGCAGAATGCCTAAACTTCCCCTCAACATATTCTGCCACAGCTTTCTAATAGGAGAGCAACCAGGAGAGTTAGGGGCAACTCCATCCAGGTAGGCCACGGGCCTGAGCGTCATCTGACAATTCTCTCTCTAACCCCACACCCTACGCCCTTCATAACCACCTCCTCCGTAACACAAGTGTAATTCCAGCAGCACCTTCAAACCGGCCATCCTGTTTCTGCCCTGGACTTCCTCATCCCATCCCATCTCTAACCCACACAGTAGCCAATGTGAGTCTTCTATAAGATATGTTACAGGGCCCAGTACGATAGCCTAGTGTCTAAAGTCCTCACCTTGCGTGCGCCAGGATTCCATATGGGCACTGGTTTGTATCCCTGCAGGCCTGCTTCCCTTCCAGCTCCCTGTTTGTGACCCGGGAAGGAAGTCGAGGATGGCCCAAAGCCGTGGGACCCTGCACCCACATGGGAGACCTGGAAGAGCTCCTGGCTTCAGATGGATTACTTAGCTCTGGCTGTTGCGGCCACTTGGAGAGTGAACCAGTGGATAGAACATCTTTCTCTCTGTAAATCTGACTTTCCAATAAAAAATACATCTTTAAAAGCTCAGTATTATGAACCCTATTTAACACAACTGACAGCAATTCACAATTACATTTTTAAAAATAAAATATAAGTTACAAACGTAGAGTTTAGATCAAGGAGGGGGATAGTGGAGTGTCACACAGCTGTACACTGGAATGAAACCTCCAGAGTGACACCTCACATCTCCCCATGTGCTGTGGGGCCTGATACTCTGGGAGTGGATGAGGATACTGGCAAATCAGACAGGCACTGGTTTGAGCCCCAGCTCTTCCACTCGGCACTGACTCAGCTCTCTACTGACAGCTCTGGGAAAGGCAAAGGAGGATGACCCAAGCCTTGGGACCCTGCACCCATGTGGGAGACCCCAAAGAAGCTCCAAGCTTCTGGTCCAGCTCCACCTGCTGGGAATATTTGGGGAGTGAACCACTGGCTTTCTCTCCTTTTCTGTAACTGCTGTGCAATTAAAAAGCTCAAGTGTGTTGTTAAGTAAAAAAATACTGTACAAAAGAGGATTAAACTATACTATCTCTAAAAAGAGATGGAATAAAAATGTCTTGTTTTATGTCTTTGACTTTGAAACCATGTCAGTATTTCACATTCAAAAAACTAGAAAATTTAAAGTACAATCTATAGAAACAAAAGTAAAATGAAATACACAGAAAATGCTTGTGTGGTACAGTGGGTTTAAGCCACCACCTGAGACGCCAACAGCCTATATTGGCACCAGTTCAAATTCTGCCTGTTCCACATCTAATTCATTTCCCTGCTGATGCACCTGGGAAAGCAGTGGAAGACCCAGAGCTTGGGCTCCGTGCACTCGGGTGGGAGAGTCAGATGAAGCTTCTGGCTCCTGACTTCAGCCAGGCCCAGATTTGGTCACTGCAGCCATTTGAAGAAGGAACTCACGGATCAAAGATCTCTTTCTCTCTTTCTTCCTTTCTCTAACTCTGCCTTTCAAATAGATCTTTTTCAAGCAATGAAATACATGAGCCTAAGTAATATTCTGAGGTAGCAACTTAATGACAGAGCAATCAGCCAACAGCTCCTTCCGGGTCTCCCACGTGGGTGCAGGGTCCCACGGCTCTGGGCCGTCCTCTGGGTCTCCCACACGGGTGCAGGGTCCCACGGCTCTGGGCCGTCCTCTGCAGCTTCCCCAGGCCACAGCAGGGAGCTGGATGGGAAGTGGGGCCACCAGAACTCCACGTCAGCATTACCCAGTCCTTCAGCAGCAATCTGACTATCCAGTCTTTAAGGGAATCTAACCATAGGACCTCACTCCACCCCTAAAAAAACAAAACAAAAGCCACCCTTAAAATCCTTTGAAAACCATATTGTTAGTAATGGCATCAGTATTTCTATCCGAACCCAGAATTATCAGCATAAAAGACATATAAACTCAAAAAAGTGAATATTCTATAATCATGTCATTAATTCCAATTCAAGTTTAACTACAACATATTTCCTCTTTAAAAAACAAAGCTGAGCAATAATCACTAAAAAGAGCCACAAGGAGACCAGTAACCCAGGAAGCAGTGGCTCAGATTCCAGCATCTGAGTGTCAAAAACACATAAAACTCCTTAAAAAATGACCGATGGTAGATTTTAGGAAAGAAATATATAAGATAAATCTGGGATATCTCATCATATGAGAAAGTGAGGAGCTGTGAAAGACTACCGGGTTTAAAGAGTTCTAAAATTCCTTCTTAAAATCCAGCAGGAAAGAACACATATGGACAGGTTATCATAAAAAAAAACTTCAACAAAGTGAAAATAATCAAATATGCTTTAAAAATTAATGCATTAATAGTGATAAAAAAAGGAGGAAAACTTTACTGTTCATTTATATAGCATTCTAGGAAATAAATTCATAATTTAAGAACTAAAAATGAAGAGAAAGAATCAAGCGACCCAGGGGCTGCAGCCCCACGTGCAGGAGGCCGAACCAGAAGCTGTGTGCCAGGACCCCTGCAAGGTGTATGTGAAGACACCACTGAGCCTCCTCCTTAGCCTGCCACCCCAGTGTATAACTTGATAAGACATGGAAGTGAAGGAGGCAAAGAGGGATCCAGCGGCCTGAACGAACGGGCACCGTGGTCATCAAGAGGCGTTGGGGCCACACTGAAGAGTACTGCCTGCAGAGCTGGCATCCTGTGACACCTACGGAAACCAGTCAAAGACCTGGCTGCTCCACTTTGGATCCAGCTCCCAGTTTATGGCCTGGGAAAGCAGTGAAGGATGGCTTACTTCTTTGGGTCCTTACATCCACGTGCGAGACCTACAAGAAGCTCCTGGCACCAGCTTCAGACAGGCCCAGCTCCAGCCTGAGGCTATTTGGAGAGTGAACCAATGCAAGGAAGATTTCTTTTTCTCTCTCTGTCTTCCCCTCCATCTGTAACTCTGATTTTTGAGTAAAGTAAGTGACTTTTAATGTTTTTAAAGATTTATTTATTTTTATTGAAAAGAAAGATGTACAGAGACAAGGAGAGACAGAGAAAGATCCTCTCTCTGTTAATTCACTCCCCAAGTGGCCATAATGGCCAGTGCTGAGCCGATCCGAAGCCAGGAGCCAGATGCTTTTTCTGGGCCTCCCATGTGGGTACAGGGGTCCAAGGCTTTAAGACATCCCCCCAACCACAAGCAGGGAGCTGAATGGCAAGTGGAACATCTGGGACAAGAACTAATGCCCATATGGGATCCCAAACGTGCAAGGTGAGGATTCAGCCACTAGGCTATCATGCTGGGCTCAAAAATAAATAAATCTTTAATCTATCTCTTATCTGTAAATGACAATGATAATACATACCTTTTTAAAAATCACTGCATTAAAGACTATATATAGGGCCCGGCGCGGTGGCGCAAGTGGTTAAAGGTCCTCGCCTTGCACGCCCGGGATCCCATATGGGCGCCGGTTCTAATCCTGGCAGCCCCGCTTCCCTTCCAGCTTCCTGCCTGTGGCCTGGGAAAGCAGTCGAGGGAAGCTGGATGGGAAGCAGCGCAGGCCCAAGCGGGACCAACTGGTGCCCAAGTGGGATCCCAGTGCGTGCAAGGCAAGGACGACCTTAGCCACTAGGCTACCATGCGAAGTCCCATTAGGTGACAATTCTGTCAATATGGTACCGGGGGGGGGGGGGGGGCTGGGAGGACGGGGAAGGCAGACTGCACATACATCTTTCAAAGAAGCAGCAAAGAGAGAAAAAAAAACAGGAAAGATGCTATTGCCATTATAAACTGTTTAAATAGGATTTACCTTTGCAATTATTTGTCTTCTAAGACTGAAACTTTGAAAATATATAATTGTCAGCTGTTATACATACAATTTATAAACACTCTAATACTCCAACACAATGATATTCAAGCTGAAATAGAAAGAATCAGCATTTGTGCAAAGACGACTTACTAAGGCCAGCAAGGAGGAGAGGGAAAGCCGAGGTTGGAACAATCAAGAGAAACACACAGACCAGAAAGCAATGGCAGAGAACTACTGTGGTGCAAACAGCAGCTCGTCCTGGCCTGGAGCACAGGGCCCTGGGCATGCCCCTCGCAGCCGTCCCGTGACTCTGATGGGCCAAAAACCACACAGCAGCACAGGGTCGAAGCAATCAAAACACAGAGGCACCTGTCCCAAAGACTTAGGAGGATGAATGAGAAATCAGTTAATATAAACTAAATATATATAAATCTCAAAGCAAAAATTGAAATGATTTCCATTTACCTGATTGCTTAGAATTTCTTTCTTTCCACTGAACATTTTTGCATTTGATCTGGTTTTGTCTCTCTTTTCGGAGCCGTTCTAATCTTTGAGCTTGAAAAGAAATATTATAACTATAAGTTTGTCAATGAAAGTTTACTATAAACAAAGACATAATTAACTACCTTTATATGAATAAAGATGTTTTATAATGCATATGTAGGGGGAAAAGTCATAAAATTTTAAAGGTGGCACCCCTGAAAAGCAAATACCAACAAAAACATGAAAATATTCTTGATTTATAATTGAAATTAGAGGATATAAAACATTAATAGAGATCATAAAGATAGTATTAACATGGAAGAGAATAATAAAATGTGAAAACTTCTGTGATTAATATGACATTTCATTATATAAATCATTAATAACGGTCTTAAAGGAATTTTAATGCACAAATGAACTGAAGTGAATATTACATTACAGGAATAAAATTACTGTTATGAATTACTCTCCCCGTTTCAAAAATTAAAGATAAATGAACTCAGACTAGACTATTAAAGTTTTAAATATAAAATCCTTTATCTAAAAATCATGAAAATTATAAAATGTCAAAGCTATATAAATTAGCATAGCTTTTCTTCAGAGGGCTGAAACAGTTTATAGGTAGTAAAATAAATGATTTGTATCTTTGTAACATTAGTCAAATCTTAAAAAGAACAATTTTTCTTTTACAAAATTTTAAGATATGCTGAATGGATGTTTCTTGGTCACTAAGACAACCCAAACCTCAATTAATCATTAGCATCTAAATGCAACCTAAAAATTTCCAACCAGTCACCCAAGATGGTGCGTCTCCAATTCTGCTGTCACTGGCTGGGGAAATGCTGCCCGGCACCCACTGACCTGTGGCACGGACACCACAGCAGGGAAGTCACGGCTCAGCCATCTCTTGAAATCAGCTTTCTCTGGCTAATCTTCACCTTCCTATCCTGGCACACGCTCATAGAAAACAGATAAACATAAATTTCTTCTTCGACCAGTTTTCCAGGTAGAGTATCACATCCCCCTATCTTAGAACCGTGGTAGGGAGACACCTAAAAATAATCTAGCCAGTGATTTAAACTAGGCTGGCAAAAGCTTTCTGACAATGTCACTACATTTAACCAAATTCCACTGAAGAAAAATACATTCAATTGCAATTAATAAATGTGAAGGGTACAGCCAGAGTAATATAATCATAAAGCTCTCAATTTAGCAGTATTCTCCTCCTGAAATCCATCCAACCTGTCATGGAAGATATCATCTCAATAACTTGCAAGGAAGTCAGCTTCAACTAGAGAACTGAGAATCAATGGTTCTAAATTATATTCAAACCTTCACTCAAATCCTATGCAGATAGAAGTTCTTTCAGATACTGGGAAATGCTATTAATTATTTTCACCATGAGAGAAAATTATTCTTTTGATGTCACAGACACTTCCTGAACCAAACCTTTATGCACACTGCCCTGTACTGTGCTTACAGCTTCCCTGCACTTCCGCTTCCTGCAGATTTTACATCTGGACTAGGAATATGAAGATGTGCAGGCGCTCACATCGCACTACTGCTCATCCTACCATGACCTTTGCCAGGAATGAGCAGGGTACTGCTATTGATTGGCAAGTATAATTCCTGATGGTCTAAAAAATTAATGATTTCCTGGATATCACATATTAGAACTGCAAAGATATGTTCTTAGCAAATTATCTAAATAAAGGTCTTGGTTCATCCCATTTCTCTTTAACAGCTATAAAAAAATATGTTAGAAAACACAAGTTTTTAAAATTCAATAATTAAATATACCAAAATTGGACATTTTCAAATCATAAAGATCAAAGAATAGTGACAAACTTAAGAAGCAAAGTATCAAAAACTGGGTCACTGTTTCTCATTTTAAATCCCGTGTAGGAATTCCCACTAGACCAGCCCACTCGCTCACCCCTACTGAGCTCCCTGGATGCTCAACTCTCCAGCACATGTTCCTGAAATCTACCTCCAGGTAGTCTACCCTTGGGATGCACACTGCAACTCAAGACAGGTGCATTCCCCTGAGCAGCCACCGAGATGGCAGGTACAAGGGCTCGCCCTCAGCCCGACACAACATGTGTTTCCATTAATATATAGACAGGTCCCCCATTTGAACTATTCCAACATTGTGCAAATATTCCAAGATTGTTTACTAACTTAAAGCTCAGAAGACATGACTAGAAGACAATGTTTACCTGTGTTTGAGCGTCTTCTAATACCAAAGTCCCAACTTGAGGTAATATCGACTGACTGGGCGTACACATAGCCCTGAGTCTCACCATTGCTCCCCTGAATCTCTGACCCACTGTCTGCAGGCAGTGAAGGAGGATGAATCTTCTCTAGGTCAACATCATGGTCAATGAGAACCATCTCACACATTCCCGTGTCATCACTGGTCACATGGGACTGTCGAATATGAGCTAGAATGATAGCTGGATTGTCCAAGAAGGCCATCCTCTCTGTGGGCCCGTTTCCTTAAAAGGCTATTTTCTCCTCTTCATACTGTTTCACGAGCTCACCTACCTGGAAACACGATGTACACAGCAATATTTAAGAATAAGGTAGAAAATGACTGAATCATTTTTCAAACAAATTCAAAACGGTAAAACACTACCTTGAAAATCAACATTTACTCCTATTTTGAGGAATTTTGAAAGATTAAGCCTAAGCTGGAAGAAAATCCTTGTAAGCAGTATGGGCTACAGCTCTGCTCAGTGAGATCTAAACGGTATCAGAGAGGAAAGCCGGCTCTCTTGCAAAACAAGTAATAGTAACTCCACAGCCAGGCCACTCAAAGCACAGAACTACTGTTCAAACCATAAATTCTCCTTTCTTCCTCCCCTCCCAGGCAATCTTCTCATTACTTTATAAGGTCAGGGAGAAAACAAGCTGTATTTTTCTCAAATGATGTACTAAAGCCTGAAACTATATTTCATCAGTTTATATTTCCCCTCCTATCATATGGTTACAAAGTGTTTAAATGGGCAGAAATGCTTTCTGAATTACTAAAGATCTTACAAAAAGTTCTACCAAAGTAATTTTGCTCAATAAACACATTTTCCTTTCTTTTGGTTTATCATGGTATTGTGCTTTTAAAACAAAACTTATTAATCAAGATTGCCTGCTGCAAGACTAATTTCTTATTTTAGAAACCTAATTACAAGAACTGTTTCCTGAATCTTGTTGAGATTGTAATGAGTCTATTCTAGGGACAAAATGGTACCTCCCTGAGTAAGTGAGAAGCTCACCAAGGGAGGCGTTAGAGACTAGCGGTAGGGAGTAAGGCCCTAGAGACAGCCTGAGCTGGAATCCTGACCCTGTCACTTGCCAGCTTGCTCATCTTGGTCAAAATACTGCACCCTTGTATGGTGCTTTCCTTTCTCCATTTATAAAAGCGAGGTGCAAGGGACGAGAGGATGCAGGACACAATGCAGTTTTATAAAACACTCATAATTAGTAATGATAATGATAAAAGCACCATTGCAACCTTTGGCTTTCAACTCAGGTTTAAACCAGTACTAAAATATCCCAACATTCCCTTCTCCTTTGGCAAATTCACAGCAGATAGAAGCCAGTCAGTGTCAATCAATAATTGCAAAAATGGAAGCAACCGAAATACCCATCAGCAGAAGATTGGATAAGAAAGCTATGGTTCATCTACTCCATGGAATACTACTCAGCTATTAAAAAAAATAATAAAATGCAGTTCTTTGTGGCTAAATGGACCCAACTGGAAAGCATAATACTAAGGGAAATGAGCCAATCCCAAAAGATTAGATACCACATGTTTGCCTTAATTTAAGATGAAACGATGTCAGTATGAAAAATACTACCTGTAAAATGTAAATTTTTTTAACCCATTGGTTACTCAATACTATGTCCACTTATTCCATGACGCTGTGGATTGTTGCTTATGTTATGTTGGAGCTTTTGATTGGTCAGGATGACGCTCTGCCGGCTCTACCTTCAGACCAAAGATGGTCTCCACAAGAAGGAGTTGAACTCAATCTGGACAATAAGATGCTGGACTCTATGCTTGGTATATGCTTACAATGAAAGAACCTCAACTGAACTTGAACTGTGGCAATGCAGCAAGGTGGAGGAATCCACCATGGGGGGAGGGTTTGGGGAGGGGGAGAGGGAATCCCAGTGCCTAAAAAAACTGTGTCACATAATGCAATGTAACAAAAAAAAGAAAGAAAAATATCATATTTAAAAAAATAAGTCATTGAATATACAAATAAAATGGTTATTTTTAATAGTTAAAAAAAAAAAAGAAGCCAGTCAGTGCGCCCTGTGGGGTGGAGGACACTGCCATCTGGATCACTTCCTGCTCCTCCAAAGTCATTAGGAAATGTGAGAATGTGAAAGCTGAACTGAGTATACTCCTAGGAGAGGCCCTACAGAACACTTCCTTTTTAGAAAACTCTGTAAGATTCTTGCCTTAATACATTTCTTATGGAAATGGAACACACGCGGAAATGCAGTTAGCCATTAGAGCTAGCTGGGGTCTTTAAAGAACTGTCTATTAGCACATCATTTTAGAGATGTGAAGACATTTACCTGAGAAGCATCACTAACCAAGGGAGTTCGTCAGCTTTCACCATGCTCAGTCAACACTCAGGCTAGCTGGTGGGAAAGGCAAAGTGAGTAAGACCTCCCCAAATCAAAGTGTATACAGCCCTGGTACAACTTCTAACGTGGAAATACAGACCTAGTCCATCCACTAATGCTTGAAGGCATCTCAGCCCAGACGCTTCTCTTCAATGTATCCCTCAAATCTAGCACATTATGATACTATCAATTTATACCAATGACATTTTTCAAAACAAAAAGAATTTTTTTAAATATGAAAAGAAGGGTTGGTGGTGTGGCACAGCAACATCCACATGGCTGCTCGACTGGAGTCTTAGCTGTTCCACTTCCAATCCAGCTCCCTGCTAACGTAGCTAGCAAACAAGCCCAACATAGCTCAAGAGCTTGGACCCCCTGCACCCAGGAGGGAAACCAGTAAGAAACTCCTGGATCCCACCTGGCCCTGCCCTAGTTACTCTGGCCATTAAGGGAGTCAAACTAGGATGCAAGACTTCTTTCGGGGCTGGTGCCATACCACAGCAGGCTAAGCTTCCACCTCCAGCTCTACCGTCCCATATGGGCACCACTTTGTGTTTGGCTGTTACACTTCCAATACTACTCCTTGCTTATCACCTGGAAAAGCAGCAAAGAATGGCTTGGGCCCCACAGCCACGTGGGAGACCCAGAGGAAGATCCAGCAGATCCTGGCTTCTGCTTTCAGATCCAGCTCCAGCTGGGGAGTAAATCAGCAGATGGAAGATCTCTCTCTCTCTCCATCTCTGCAACTCTGCCTTTCAAACAAAAACAAAAATCTTTAAAACAAGAGAGTCTGTTTCTCCCTGTAACTTCCAATTTTCAAGAAATAAGTAAATCTTTTTTAAAGAATCTGAACAGTGGGGCCAGTTCAGTAGATAGATCAGGCTAATCTTTAGCCTGCAGTAAAACATCCCATAAGGGTCCTGCTTTGTGTTCCAATGGCTCCACTTCTGAGCCAGCTGATTACTGCCTGGGAGAGCAGCAGAGGACAGCCCAAGACCTCAACCCCTGAACCATGTGGGAAACGCAGCAGAAACTCTTGGCTCCTGGCTTCTGATCAGCTCAGCTCCAGCCACTGTGGATATTTGGGAAGTGAACTAGCAGATGGAAGACCTCTCTCTTTCTCACTCAATTCTCTCTTTCTATAATCTACATTTAAAATTAAAATAAATTTTTTTAAAGTATTTTTTTAAATCTGAAGAACAACAAATTACTATTTACAGTTGCATTTGATTTCTAAGACATTTAAATACACACAGCAACAAGTTTTCTTTACGCGATTTGCAAAAAATCCAATCTGTTTTTTCCAAGAGATTATTTTTTCAAAAATCAACATTAACATGGGTCCAGAGTAACTGGCACATTCACATACCACAGGGAATGAAAATCAATATTTTAGAAGATAACTTGATAATCTTATCAAAATGAAGACCATATGTACTCTTTGGGCAACCCCCTTTCAGGATTTCCGCTGAGAAAAAAAATATGCAAAATTACTGACCTAAAAACTGTTTGTAATATTGCAAGCCAGAAAGTAACTTAAACATCCACCAGTACTACACACGCCAAGGCATACAAGGGGCTACTTCAAACAAGCTTGAACTTCAAAAAACGAATTTGCACTAAAATAAACTTAGTACCTTCTCATTCACTTTCCATTAACTTTTCTTACTTCTTTTTTTAAAGATTTATTTATTTTTATTGGAAAGTCAGATATACAGAGGAGGAGAGACAGAAAAGAAGATCTTCTGTCTGATGATTTACGCCCCAAGCGGCCGCAATGGCCGGTGCTGTGCCGATCCAAAGCCAGGAACCAGGAACTTCTTTCCGGGTCTCCCATGCGGGTACACGGTCCCAAGGGTTTGGCCCATCCTCAACTGCTTTCCCAGGCCACAAGCAGGGAGCTGGAAGGGAAGTAGAGCTGCTGTGATTAGAACTGGCACCCATATGGGATCCCGGTGCATTCAAGGCGAGGACCTTAACCATTACACTACTGCACCAGGTCCTTCCATTAACTTTTGAAGCTACCCTCTGGAGTAGTGCTTAGTGTCTTAACATGCAGAGTAGGCGTTGTGCAGTGTACCCAGGTGCCATCCTAGCTTCTGACAGCCTGGGAGGCAGTACAACTATTCAATAGCCCATGCAGGAGATCTGAGCTGTGTTCCTGACTCCCATCTGGGCCCTGGAGCTGCTGCAAACATCCAGCAAGCAACCAGCAGATGGAAGTTCTGTGTGTCTATCTGGCATTTTCTCTCTTTGCCTCTCAAAAAGTTAACTACGGGGCCCAGCACCGACTTTGCAATAAAAACATTAATAGTATTTATTAAGTATTTATTTACTTTTATTGGTAAGGCAGATATGCAGAGAGGAAGAGAGACAGAAAGGAGGATCTTCCATTTGATGGTTCACTCCCCAAGCAGCCGCAACGGTTGGAGCTGAGCCAATCCGAAGCTAGGAGCCAGGGACTTCTTTCAGGTCTCCCACACGGGTGCAGGGTCCCAAGGCTTTGGGCCATCCCCGACCACTCTCCCAGGCCACAAGCAGGGAGCTGGATGGGAAGTGGGGCTGCTGCGATTAGAACCAGCATCCATACAGGATCCCAGCGCGTGCAACTTGAGGACTTTAACCACTACACTATCATGCCGGGCCCAAAAATAAATAATTTTTTTTTAAATTAGAAAAGGTTAACTGCAAAAAGAAGACGACAAAAAATGGTGCCTGTCTGCAATGCTGGCATTCCATATGGGTGCCACTTCAAATGCTAGCTGCTCCACTTCCGGTCCAGCTTCCTATGATAAACCTGAAGACGTCGGTGGAGTTCCTGGCTACACTTGGTCAAGCTCTGGCTTCTACGGGCATTCTGGGGAGGGGTCTAGCAGATGGAAGCCACCTCCCTTTCTGTGTCACCTAATGTTCACATTAATAAACATAACATTTTACATCAATTCATTCAACTTTCAAAATAATCCTATTAAGCCAGTTATTATTGTCATTACCATCTCTTAGATGAAAATCGATATAAAGGTTTATAAACTTGTCCAAAGTTAGCTAGTACACAGTAGAAATAAACATCAACTCCCAAAAGTTTGGAAACTTAGCCACTCTACCACCTGGCCTCGACACAAGCAGGATCCATGTTACAGCTGTCACACATCCTGTTTTCAAATCCTGCTGTGTATTTTGGACTTTAAGGCCTGAAAGAAATTTCTTCCATGGCGCTCTGTGAAAGGCGGAGGACGGTCACCGTGTTCTGCAATCACGCCTCCCCAGCAGCAATTTGGACAGCAGAAAGAACTTGGTCATGTACATGAGGACCGGACACAGCAGTTATAAACCCAGAAGACTCGACAGGGGAAAGCTTGCAGGATCAGCCACCTGCTGATCTGAAACCACAGACGAGGTTGTTTCTGGGCAAAGTGTTTGCGACAAATCCCTGGTGAACCCCACAGCTTCAGCTGCAAGTCTGTACCTGAACACTGTGTTTTTCTTCCTATAATCCTAAGCAAATGAATACTCCCTGTGCACTGTCACTCCCTGAGGACCCAAGATCAGCGACCAAAAATATGATGCAAACGTCCCATCCATCCTGGGTTTCCACGGAAGACCCCGGTCCTGGACTTTTTCCAAACACTACATAGGCTCACTTCCCTCCAGCAGGCGGGCTTCCAGCGCCCTCACTTGCAATCTGGGAAAACTTGTCTGAATAGCAACAACAGCCTGAGGCTTCTCAAAGGTCTACAAACTCCCAATCAAAAATTACTGCTGCCCCATCAATGTGTCATATAAATGCTGGCATGTTAATTGTGTATTTATAAGATTGTTAATGGTTAGTTAATTTACCTCCCACACTATTATTGTACTTGAAATGATTTAACGTCTGCTGGGGGAGTTAACAACATGTAACAGCAGATGTGAGATTTTTTTTCACCTTTCCACACTGTACCCCGACTTCATGTTATTAGCAGTAGGCAAGTTAAGCCTGACGCCCACACAGGGACCCGTAAGAGTGTCACGCAAGTACTCACACTTATTTTCCACA